AGTTGAGATGAGGGCGCCGGTGCGGTCGGGTTCTAGGTAAGGCTTCCTGCTAGAAGGGGCCCTCGAGCTCTCTGGAGTCCCTTTTACAAAATCATCCATCCCTGTCTTGACAGCTCTGCCCTCATGACCTCAGCAATCCCCAGGGGCCCTCCCTTCTAAGGCCATTACACTGGGGGCTAGGACTGCAATGGATGCATGGTAGGGGGACACAAACACTCAGACCATGGCAAGGACTGCCAGCTAAACGCAGCATGTGATCCTGGACCAAATATTAAACAAGTGACCAACAAGAATAACAGCTCTCAAGCGTATTTGGAGGGCGTGGTGCATGGCTGGCTCAGTGGGTGGGGCATGTGACTCCCGATCTCAAGGTCTTGAGTTTAAGCCCCACGTTGGGTGTAGAGATTACTTAAAAATAAAATATTTAGGGGCACCTGGATGGCTCAGTGGGTTAAAGCCTCTGCCTTCGGCTCGGGTCATGATCTCAGGGTCCTGGGATTGAGCCCCGTATTGGGCTCTCTGCTCTGTGGGGAGCCTACTTCTCCCTCTCCCACTCCCCCTGCTTGTGTTCCCTCTCTTGTTGTCTCTGTGTCAAATAAATAAATAAAATCTTTAAGAAAGAAGGAAAAAAAAGAAAGAAAGGGAGAAAGGAAGAAAGGAAGGAAGAAAGAAAAAGAATATTTGGGGGATTAGAATATGGATTTCATAACAGATAATATCCTTGAAGAATTAAGCTTCTAGAGTGTGGTGATGGCATTTATGATTATACAGCTCCTACAGTGTAGGAAAACATTCTTGTTCTTGAGGGACACAAACTGAAATATTCTGGGCGAAGTATCATCCTCTCTCCAACCAACTTTCAAATCTTCCTCTATAAATGTCTGTACAAAGGGAGAGAAAGACATGAAGCAAATAAGCCAACAGGCTTGTTTGCTGTACTATTCTTGTCTATTGCTTGTAGGTTTTAGATTTTTCCAAAGAAAAAGTTGAAAAAAAAAAATCCCCTGTCAGGGGCGCCTGGGTGGCTCAGTCAGTTGAACATCTTCCTTCCGCTCAGGTCATGATCTCAGGGTCCTGGGATTGAGCCCTGCATCAGGCTCCCTGCTCCCTCTGCCCCTCCCCGCCTGGGTGGCTCAGTGGGTTAAGCCTCTGCCATCAGCTCAGGTCATGATCCCAGGGTCCTGGGATCGAGCCCCGCATCGGGCTCTCTGCTCAGCGGGGAGCCTGCTTCCTCCTCTCTCTCTGCCTGCCTCTCCGCCTACTTGTGCTCTCTCTCTCTAATAAATAAATAAAAACTTTTTAAAAAATCCCCTGTCAATTGGAAAAATAAGCAAAATCCTTAAAGACCTTAAATAAGGGCCCATGAAAATGCCCCTCGAGGAATCACACTTGCCCTAGTCCTGAGAATCCGGTAAACCATTCAAAGTAAACCATTCCTTTAACCAGAACATTCTGCCCTGCATGCTGCTTTTGGCCACAATGTCTGGAGCCAAATCAAATAATAACTACCTTGCTGAGTAAAGAGGGAGCCTCCCCTCCGGTGCTGGTCCACGTTCCTGGTTTCCTCGTAGCATCCTGTGGGAGCGGGAACTCCAACCCCATTTTACAAATGAGGAAACTGAGGCCAGCAGAAGCATTGAACTAGCCTCAATTCATACAGCTGGTACTACTAAAAGCCACATCTTTCTGACTCTGAAATCTGTATTTGTAACCACTATGTTGACTGCTTCCTGGAGGGTGGGGGAAGGACGGGGCTGCTCTTTCCACACCCAAATAAACCTATGAGGATAAAGCCCATCAAGGGAGAGGAGGAGGGAAGCAGGAGACCTTATATGAAAGAGTTTGGACCTGGGGAGGGTGGTCAGGGAAGTCTTCCTGGAGGCGGGCTGAAGCCTCACGGGTGAGTATGAGGTGACCAGGCTTCAGGAGAAGATCACGGCAGGCAGGAGGAAAAGCATGGGCAAAGGCCCGGTGGCTAAAGGGTGGCCAGTGAGGAGGGGCTGGGTGCGAACTGGCAGCAGGATCAGAGAGTGAGAGCCTCAGAGGAGCAGAGAGGAGCTTGGGCTTCCTCCTGAGGGCACTAGGGAGCCAAGAGAGGATTCTGAGCAGGGGAGAAGAGCAGATGTATAACTCAGCAGGGCCCCTCTGGCCGGCTGGTGGGGGAAACTCAGAGGACACTAGGAGCTGATGGCCACAGAGTAGCTTGGGCCGGAAGCCAGGGCTCATGGAATGATTAGTACACAATTCAGACTCAATAAACACTTGGGCAAAGATCCAGAAGCACACGAAGGCTCCATATCGGGGAGGCGCAAGGAACCAGGTGTCTCAGACACCAGCTAGGAGAAATAGTTGTGGGTACGAACTGCTCACAGAGGGCAATTTGGCAATATCTCTCAAATTACCTTTGACCAGCCGTTTTGCTTCCAGAAGTTACTTGCGTGACACGAGGGAAATAATAGATGAACCGAGTCGTTCTCTACAGGTTTGCTCAAAACAGGCCAGGGAAAGCAACCTAAATGCCCAGTAACGGGGGACCTGCCCAGCAGGCTTGCACCTACCCGCGCAACAGGGCTCAATGAAAGAGAACGGGACAGCTTTAGATCCGCTGAGGTTAGCTGTGCTCCAAGATACATTCTTTGTACTTTTTAGATTTTTTATTATTATTATTTATTTATTATTTTTAGAAGATTTTATTTATTTATTTGTCAGAGAGAGAGAGAGAGAGAGTGAGCACAAGCAGTGGGAGCAGGAGGCAGAGGGAGAAGCAGGTTCCCCACTGAGCAAGGAGCCCAATGCGTGACCTTGCATCCTAGCCATGACCTGGGCTGCAGGCAGACGCTTAACCAACTGAGCCACCCAGGCATCTCAAATTTCTTTTTTTAAGTAATCTCCAGGGGTGCCTGGGTGGCTCAGTGGGTTAAAGCCTCTGCCTTTGGCTCAGGTCATGATTTCAAGGTCCTGGGATCAAGCCCCGAATCAGGCTCTCTGCTCAGCAGGGAGCCTGCTTCCTTTCCTCTCTCTGCCTGCCTCTCTGCCTACTTGTGATCTCTGTCAAATAAATAAATAAAATCTTAAAAAAAATAAAAATAAAGTAATCTCTACATCCAATGTGGGGCTCAAACTCACAACTCTGAGATCAGGAGTTGTGTACTCTCCAGACTGAGCCAGCCAGGAGCCCCTTCAAGATACATTCTTAAGCAAAAAAAGACCACCATGCAAAATAGTATATAGATTACACTCCTCTCCATGTACAAAAGGGGGACTGTACATACGTATGTACACATGTCCCTACAGAACCATAAACGACTCCCAGAAAGATGCATGAGATATTGATAAGGGTCACTTCTGCGGGTGCCTGGGGATGTAGCTGGCTGGGCGTCTGACACTTGGTTTCAGCTCATGCCATGATCTCAGGGTTGTGGGATCAAGTCCCACTTTGAGCTAAAGCTCAGTGTGGAGTCTGCTTGAGTTTCTCTCTCTCTCCCTCTGCTCTTCCCCCCACCCCCGGCAGGTGCCTATATGTGTGTGCTCTTTCTCTCTCTCAAATAAATAAATAAATCTTTTTTTTCTTTAAGGGTCACTGGGGCACCTGGGTGGCTCAGTCAGTTAAACACCTCCCTTTGGTTCAGGTCATGATCCTGGGGTCCTGGGATCGAGTCCCCACATTGCGCTCCATGCTCAGCCGGGAGCCTGCTTCTCCCTCTTCCCCTCCCTCTGTTTGTGCTCCTTCTGTCTGTCCAATAAATAAAATCTTAAAAAAAAAAAAAAAGAAAAGGTCACCTCTGTGAGGGTGGCGCAGGGAACCTGGGGCCTGGGGACAGGAGTGGTGGACTTTTGTTCAGTTTAATTTAAATTCTGTTAATACATATGAATTAAATTAATTGACATCCTGGAAAGTTTCGAGCCATAGGATTCAAAACTATAAAGCAAAATAAAGATGCATGTAGTGAAAAACCTTACCTGCACCTTATCCATTCAGCACTACCCCAACCCCAAAAAGTCATGACTTTTTTTTTCCCCTTCCAGAGTTTCTGGAGGCACATACCAGCAAATACAAATACAGAATCTTATTTTTCCCCCATTTTAACACTGAAGGTAGTATAATCCCCTAAGAAGGGTTCTGTGCCTCGATTTGTTTGTTTGTTTATTAATATATCTTGGAGATGGTTCCACATCAGTACCTGGGGGACAGCTTCATTTAAAAATCTCTCCGTGTGCACCGAATGCATTTCTGTTTATCGGCACACACACACAGATAGTTTTCGTGGTTGCGCAGGATTCCAGTGTGTGCGTAGATGTGCACAGGTTACCCCACCAGCTGCTGAGTAACTCTACAGTTTCCAACTCTTTACGTAACAAGGCTGCGGGGGATCTCTTGCACACACCTTTTTGCCCAAAGGCTGGCTTATCCACATCGCCAATTTCCTCGAAGCAGAATGGCCAGACCTATGAGTCACGATGGCAATAATCCTAACCCCAGTTCATCTCTCCTGAGCATATACCAGGCTGGAGGCCCTTGGCACGTGTCATTAACTCATTCACGCCTCCTGACAACCCCCGGTGGCTAGTTGTTGTTGTTGTTGTTATTATTATTATTATTATTATTATCCCATTTTGTAGAGAAGGAAACTGAGGCACAGAGGGACCAAATAACCACTCCAAGGCTGCCCTGCTGGTAAATGGCAGAACAGGGATTCAAACCCCGCCACTCCAATTATTCTGGCCTCCCTTGTGGGCCAGGAGACTAGCTACCCCGCCTTTCAGGGCAATGATAATTTTGATCAATACTGCCAATGCCCAGAAGGACGCCTTTCTTGGAATGTCCTTTGGAACCCGAGGCGAGTGAGAGTATGAACCGCTCCAACAATAGCAACGGCAATAATGATAACCACCGTGAAATACACGAACAATGCAGGCGCGCGAATCTCGGCGGTGGGGGGTGGGGGGTGGGGTGGCGGCGGGGGGGAGCGGGGAGGCGCAGACCCCGCCCCGGGCCTCACCTCGATGGCGGGCAGCGTCTTGCTGGCCTCGGTGCTGCTCTCCCCGAGGATGCTGCCGGCTGAGCGGCCCTCGCACTCGTAGCGGAAGCGCATGCCGCGCTGCTTGGGCTGCTCGGTGATGACCAGGTGCGGCCGCGGCCCGGGGCCCGGGGCCGGGGGCACGGGACGCCCCAGGGGGCAGCCCCAGGGCGACGGCGTGGCCGGGGGCGGGGGCGCCGCGGGGCCCAGGGTGACGGTGCTCAGGGTGGCCGCCCCGCGAGCCACGAGGCGCGGCAGCCCCTCGCCCGGGCCCGGCGGCGCCCCCTCCAGGCCGAAGCCGTTCTCCTTGATGTACTCGTCGATGATCTCTGCGGGAGAAGCAAAAACTGGGGGTGACGCTGATGATAGAAGGAAAGGCCTGATGACCCCCCCGCAAGACCTGTGCTGCCCCACCTTTCTCCATCCACTCATTTCTTCGAGACATCTTCCTTGTGGGCCGAGTGTGGGCAGCGGGTGGGTGGGTGGGGCTCGGCTCCCAACTCCAAAAAAGCCCCTACCCTGCTTGCGAACAGTTCCCCAGTTCTCGAGGCCAGAAACCCGGCGGCCTGGGTTCTCCTCCTGCACCCTCATGTCCACTCCCCTCCCTAACAGTGCCTGAAATCATGTCTCCATCCCCTCTCACTGGATAAAGGTAGGGCCAGGTGACAGGTGTCCCTGTCCCTGCTTCTCCCCCACCCCGGGGGGGGGGGTTAATAACAACAACCCCCCAAGCAGTTCCTACCTCAGAAAGCAGCACACCCGTCCACCAAGTACCCAAGCTAGAAGCCCGCATAGCTGCTCGTGATCCCACATCTGTCCCCATCCTTGAACCTCTAATGCCTCTTACCTCAAATACATGTTTACACTCCCACCACTGCTCCCCACATCCCCGGCTCCATTCTGGTCTACGCTCACCATCTCCCCTCTGAACCACTGCTCCTGTTCCCCCTCTGGCTTCCTCCAAGTCCCCCACACACAGCCAGACATAGCTTAGGTCAGACCCTGTCCCCACTCCACTCAGACACCTCCCATGGCTCCCATCTCCCCTAAGACTCAAAGTCAACAACCTCTCCATATAACACCTTGCCCAAACTCGATTCATCTCAGGAAAAAAAAAAAAAAAAAAAAAAACCCACGCCCCTGACCCCCTGCCACAGAGTCTTGTGTGGACTGGCCCCCTCCTGTCCTGGGCCTTCAACCTCCTGCCAACAAACCCCCCACCCACCTCTCGCCCTGCTCCAGTCTCTTTTCTGTTGCTTGCTCCCAGCAAGGCCTGGCCCTCTTTGGGGGTGCTGTGCCTACTCTCTGTCTGCCTATTCCGTCTTTCCCCCCATTCAACCCACTCTGGCCCCTCGTCCTTCAGGTCTCAGCTCAAATGTCACCTCTTCTGAAAGGCCTACCTAGTGTGTGTCTTCCCAGGCCATCGGCTCCTCTTCCTGTTATCTCCTTCATAGCCTCAGGCCGATCTGACATGATCTTGTTCATTTACTCCCTTTCCTACTATCGCCCCCACCAGAGGGTCAGCTCACAGGAGGGTAGGGACCTCATTTGGTTCGCGGCTGAATTTGGTGCCTGGCACACAGGGCGTGCTCCATAGAGTTCACTGAGAAAACGACCCAGTGCTCGCGGTAATGGTAACACTAAGGGCAGCTGACGTGGGAAGGCTTTTCTAAAGATCAAGTACTGCTGGAAGTTTGGGAACAGAAACATTAACGTCCCCAACAGTTCTACCCAACAGCAAAGAAGGCCCAAATCCCGCCCTGTGAGCACCAGGACATCTCGCCAACCCCCACCCCTTCCCCCAGACCTGCCCTGTGATACTTACCCAGTTCATCTGTGGAAGGAAGAGAAAGAGAAAGAGAAAGGTGAGGTCCAGAAGGTGCGGTCAAGACTTTCATCTTTTAAGACAGATTCCCCAACCCCATCCCCTGGAGGCCTGGAACCCTCCCCCTTTCTCTCTTCCTCCATCCTTGGAAACTGGTCTCTGGCTCGCTGGGGTGCCAAACCCCAACCCCGATTGCACCCTCTTGGGCTACCCTCCCTTCAGCTCGCAATATTGGGGCCCTAGGGTCAAGGGACCCTCAAGTGCCTTCTTAAAAAAACATTGAGGCCAGGAATTCAAAGGCATCATTGAGGACCCAGGGAAGCCAAGGATCTTATGACCAGGAAAAAAAATTAAACATATAAGATTCTAAAGGCTGGGAAAGCCCCTCATCACCTCCTTGGGAAAGCTCAGTCTTGAAAGGGGCCACGGAGAAACCGAAACAAACCTCCTGTCATTCTATAGACAGGACGATGGGAAGGCCAGAGCGAGCAGGCCCGCCTGGGGTCACACAGCGAGACAGGGCAGGCCGGGGCCAGAGCCCCTCTCAGGGTCATCTGCCCCAGCCGCTGGCTACAGACGGATCAATGCCAGCCTGCCCTGCTCCCAGACCTGTCCTCCTCCTCCACTCTCAGGGAGTGGCTCCTGGCAGCCAGACCTTTGCTCCTCGGAAAGCAGTTTTCCTGCTCTCCTTATCTCCTGTGATCTGTGAAGTCAGCAGGGTAGGGAAGATACCCCCACTGGGTAGCTGGGGACACTGAGGCTGGGACAGAAGAAGGGACAGGCTGTAGATCCCTGGCAAGGCCAACCTCCAGTCACAAAACTTGGGAAAAACTCTTAGGTGTCCATGCTGGATGACCTGTGGGCCCGAAGAGGAGTTAGATTTTGCCCAGGTTGCAGGGGGAAACCAAGGCCCGGGCAGCAGTGGCCTGAGGTTTGGACTACCTCGGTTCAAATCCTGGCTGTGCAACTTCCTAACTGGAGGGCCCTGAGCCCCTCCACTTAACCCCTTTTTGCCTTGGTTTCTCCATCTGTAAAATGGACACGGTGATAATGCCTCGTTGGGCTGCTGTGAAAATTAAATGAGCTAATACATGGGAAGCACTTGGAACTGCTTAGAATAATAGGCCCTGCATAAATGCTGGCTGCCAGCAGATCAAGTGTTGGGGGACATTCTTTTATGGACTTGGGTGACCAACCCGCCCTCCCTCTCTAGACCTCAGGTTCCCATCTCTAAAATGAAGAGGGTAGAGGACCTGCTTTCAGAGCACGGAGTATAGAGTCACACAGATGCTGGTTGGAATCCTACTTGTCACACACTCACTATGTAGCCTCGGGCAAGTCTCTCAACCTCTCTGAGTCTTTCTCAAATGAGGTCTGAGCTCCCATCTCAAGGTGTGAACATGAGGATTCTGAATCCCACAGGTAAACTGCTTAGCACCATGGCTGACTGCCCTAGCCCCTCCATAAAGCTTAGTTAAGAGCATTATTATCTAAAAATCCCCTTCTGAGGGTGCCTGGGTGGCTCAGTCGGTTGAGCAGCTGACTCTTGATTTCTGCTCAGGTCATGGTCCCCGGGGGGACCTGGGATCCATCCAGCCTGAGTCAGGCTCACTGCTTGGCAAACAGTCTGCCAGAGGATTCTCCCTCCCTCTCCCTCTGCTTTTTTTTATCTCTCTCTCTCAAACAAATAAATAAATCTTTGGGGGAAAAAATCCTCTTTCAGCCAGCAAACACTGGGAACTTCTCCTTATTTACGGTTCAACTCAAATAACACTCCATCCCACCCTGACCTCCCACACAGACGTGCCACCATCCAGGGACAGCCAGGATGGGACGCACGCAGGCAGAACACCAGCCATGTCTTTCCTGCCTCAGGGCCTTAGCACAACCTGCTCTCTGCCAGAATGTTCTTCCTCCAGTTCTTTACAAGGCGTCCTCCCCCCTCCTCCTCCTTCAGGTCCCTGCTCAAATGTTACCTACTAGATAGGTCTTCCCTGACCACTTTATCTAAGACAGCCCCCTGGTCCCTAAGATAGCTCATTCACAGTTACATACCTTTGTTTTATCATTTCATTGGCACTGGTTAGGATTTGGCATGACTTTATGTTACGGGACTCTTATCTGCCCCCACCGTATATCCAGGGTACCCTACGTGTCTAGCCCATCAGAATGAGGGAGATGTTTTCCTCCCACTCAGTCACAGCATTTAGTTTTCCCATCCTTACCCTGCTGTTAGATTTCACTGACCCCGAGACTTCTTCAGAGCCTTTGTCACATTTGGTAATCCCACATTTAATTTACTGCCTAAGTGCCTGGCCTCCACATCCAGGTAAGGAACCCATGAGGGCGGAGTTAGGCTGTTTCAGGCACTGCCGGATCCCCAGTGCTGCCCAGCACAGGACGAGGTACAGAACAGGCGTTCAATAAATATTTATTGAAGAGATGACATCACAAGTGACTCTCAATTGAAACCAGAGATCTTGGGCCAGAAAAAACCTCAGCCTTGTTCCTGCCTAGAACCAGTGCGTGGGCAGTACCTGTCCCCAGCACCATGCCCCACCTTTCCCCATTGTCCACACTCTCAGACCTGTTAGAGAACAGGCAGAGCCTCCACCATGGCCAGGCCAGCTGCTAGGGTCCATCCCAGGATTCTACCTCCAGACCAAGGCCCAGCCCCAGCCCACTAGGAGCTGAGTCTTCATGGTAACAGGACTCAGTTCCTGCCCTCCTAATCCCACCAGATTTACAAGAGAGAGGATGTTGTCATTTGGCCATGATTTTACATTTTCTGGGGCAGCACCGAATTTTGGACGACACTGGCTGAGGGACCTTCCCGAGTAGTGGTTCTGAGCATCTTTTGGGAACTTGCCAGAAATGCAAACTCTCAGGGCTGATCCTAGACCTACTGAATCAGAAACTCTAGAGGTAGGGCCCACCAATCTGATTTAACAAGCTCCCTGGGTGACTCCAGTGCACACAAAGGTTTAAGAACCACTGTTATAGGCAGTCTGATAATAGTAAAATAGTAATCATCATCATCATCATCATCATAACAGCTGTGAACAGTTAATGCTTATTGAGACTTTACTGTGTGCCAGACATTGCTTTGAAAGTCTGCCTGTATCAGCTCATTGAATCCTCTCAATCCCCGGACAAAGGGAGGCACTGATATTATGTCCACTGTACAGATGAGGAAAACTGAGGCCCAGACAGAAGTGATTTGCAGGCATTCACAGAGCGAGGAGGTGGCAGCATTGGCAGGTCATTTTTAACCCTCTGCACTACCATGGCCAATCTATAAAAAGGACTCCTCTTACAGGGCGAATAGATGGTTAGCTTTACCTGCCCAGCTCCTAACCACCCGGGAAGTAGGGGCACCTGGGGCCCCCATCTCAACCCGCAGGGACAAACACAGGTGGTCGGAGGAAAGCTGAGGTGGCCCTGGGTGAAACCCCAGACAGAGGTGTACCCAAAGCCGCCTCCACAGGATTCCCCTCTCCCCCGTCCTGAGCGCGCGGGTGGGCCGGAACTGTGGTGGGCTGCTCACCCGTGGTCCTGGAAACGGCGAGCGAGAGCGAGGAGAGGTCCGCGGACCCTGCAGCAGGGAGGGAGGCAAGTCTCAGGAGGCGATGGAGATGCAGCGGGAGGACCCGACAGTCTCCTAGGCCCCACCCCGTTCCTCTCCTGGCCCCGCCCCCTCGGATCAGGCACCCCCACCTCCTCACCCTTAACGCCCGCAGGATCTGGCCTTGCTTCCTTCTCTAACTTATGGACCGGATCCCTAGTTTCTGTCATTCTCCCCAGCCTGCATCTCACTCAGGCCGCCGGCTCCTCTTCCTTAAGGTCGGGTCTGGAGGGGCCCTCAACCTCAGTTACGAAAGCCCCCACCCCGTCCTTTCTCTCAGGGTCAACCCTACCCCTTCACTTTTTCAGTGTCACCCCATCCCCTTCTCCCTCTCAGACCCTGCCCCTCCTCTCCTGAAGCGAGCCCCACTCCCCCTTTCTTCTCCAAGTCAGGCCCCGCCTTTCTTTTTTCGGAACAAGCCCTCCCCCTTTTCCCTGCCAGAGTTAGGCCCCTCCCCCTTACCCTGAGTAGGACCCTGCTTCCTTCTTAGAGTTAGGCTCCGCCCCCTTCTCGCTTTCATAGTCAGTCCCCGCCCCCTTCGGTGAGCCAAGGCCCGCAGTCTCGCCCACTCTGAGTCTGGCCCCTCTCTCGTCTCCCCCTTCTCCGAGGCTGGCCACGCCCCCACTCCTCAGGAGCGGCTCCCGCCCCGCCTTCTCTGAGCCAGGCCCCGCCCCCATCTCACGGAGTCGGGCCCGCCCCCTCCTTTGCCTCAGGGTCAGGCCCCGCCCCCTTCTCACTCTGTAGTGGGACGCCTCCCTCTTACCTTGGGCTGGATCCCGTCACTATCCTCTGCCCCCTTCCTTCCCTCTGATACAGTGTCCCTGGAACCCTCAGCCTCGTCCCCCAAAGCCCCTAGACTCCTGTAGGAACCCCCAGACTACTCCGGGCCCCCAGAACCCCCGCATTTCCAGTCCCGCCCCAGACTTCTCTCCCGAACCCGGGTCCCGCTTACCCAAGGCTCCCAGCTCCGGCGCAGCGGACGGTCTGGCGACGCGGCGACTCGGCATGGCCCGACCAGTGGGGACGGACGGCCCGGAGGCCGGCCCAGATCAAAACACACACGCGAGCAGGCCGGGCGGCCAGGGGGCACGGTCCGGAAGACGATCGCGGGTCGAACGAGCGGCGCAGGGGCTGGGGCCGCAGGCCGGGCTGGACGCGCGGCGCCCGGGGTTGCGGGGGGCGCCGGGCCGGGCCGGGCGGGCGGCGGGCGGGGGCGGGGCGGCGGAATTCCCCGGCGCCGCCGGCCTGCGCGCCCATTGGCCCGCACCCCACCGTGACGTCACGCTAGGGGGAACGGGAAAACCCCCACGCGTCACGTGGCCCCGGGGGCGGGGCCGGCCGGGAAGGGGAGGCAGGGCGCACGGGAGGGGTTGGACTCGTGCCGCTGCCCATTGCTTTGGCGGAGACAACTGAGGCTTGCTTGGGGCCACTCACGTCGTACCCATGGAACAAGTCGGGAAACTGAGGCCCGCCCCCCAGGTCTGCCGGCGGGAGCTGAGCCTGCTGTTTCCCTAGCTGTAAGGGAAGCTTTGGGATCAGGAGGTTGCCAGGGCTCCAGCTGCCATTGGTAGTAATGATCTTTAGGAAAACCAATCTCTCTATGCCTCAGTTTCTTCAACTGTAAATTGGGGTTGAAGATACTTAAACGTTTATGGCTAGGATGCTAGTTTTAGGTTGTGTCTGCTTTGTTCCTTGCTCTAACCCTAGCGCCTAGACAGTCCCTGGAACACAGTAGGTGTCCAATAACCAACTTGGACGCCCAGCACCCTCAGACCACAGAGAGCCAAGGTTTGACATCTTGTGGCTGCTTCCCTAAAAACGTCCACCTCCTCTCTCCATGCATGACCACACTGCCTCATGGGTTCATTCCGCATGCACATATTGAGCACCTGTCGTGTGCCAGGGCCTGCACTGGGCACCAGGTCAGGGCAGTCACCAAGCCAGGCCGGCTGTCTGCTTGTGAGAAGCAGTCTCAAAGCTGCAGTCTCACAGTGTGGCCCTCAGCCCTTCAGGAGATGCAGAAAGCTCACACCCAAGCTGGAGAACTACTGCCGTACAGCAAAATATCGAGCAAACTTTTCCCACAAAAAGAGGCCAAAGACAGCACAGAAACAATGAATGTGGCCACGTTCCAATACGACGACATTTTATGGACACTGAAATCTGGACTTTGTATCAAATTTTTATGTCAAAGGAAATAGTTTTGAGGTTTTTTTTTTTTTCAACCACTTAAACGTAAAAATCACACAAATATTAGAAAAAGCTGGATTCGGCCTGCAGGCTGTAGTCTTGCATTGGACAAGAGCACTGCAAGAGAAGTAACGATGTGAGGGTCCAGAATCAGGAAACGTAGGTCTTCCACTTACCAGCCATGTGACCTCAGGCAAGTGACTTCATCTCTCTGAGCCTCGGTTTCCCCGTCTGTAAAATGGGTCTTGTCATAAGATGGTTGTGATGATTAACTGAGATACTAAAAATAGCGGACACTTGCATATAGTTCTTACATGTGCTGAGTACTATTCCAAAAGCCAGGGACACAGCAAAGAACCCAAGAAACAAAAGCCCCTGCCATCACATGGAACTTAAATTCAAGGTGGGTGAGACAAATGGAAAGAGAGAAGCAAATATATACATAAGTCTGGTGGTGATGACGGCATTACAGAATAAAGGATATATGGATTGGGTCTGGAGGAGACAGTTTGGGGGAGGATGTTCAGGGAGGATCTGAGATGACGCTGAGCGGAGTTGAAATGATGAAGGCTCTATGTGGCTATCCAGGGAAGTGAGTGAGGCACAGGGGACAGCAAGTGCAAAGGACCTGAGGTGGGAACATGCATGGCCCGCTCAGGGAACAACAAGGAGGCTGAGAAGTAGTGGGCCAGAGGATAGAATGCCGGCCTGTCAGGGGTTGGAGACACTGAATAACATTACATTTGATAAATGAAGCAAACCACCAACAATCCTTAGACTAGAGTTTGGCTCTGGTAAGGAACATCGAATTGCGGCTCCTCTAATAGGACCCGGATCCCACTTGATGTCCCCCTGTCCCTTGCAAACATCGGGCCTCACCACTGTTTACTGGGTGAATAACTGGAGGGACAGTTCAGAAATCCTCAGCACTCGGGGCTTCTGCTGGGCTTTGAGCCCTGTGAGGGCAGGCCTAGGCTGTCTTGGTCCCTGCTGTGTTAAGCAGACGCCCCCACTGCCCACCAGCTTGGGGCAACGTGTAGGGTAAGGGCTCAGGAATAATTTGTGGAGTGACTGCATGTCAGTTTTTCTGCCAGTGTGTAAATGCAGGCCTCATCAAGGTCCACACTTCTGGATGTGTATGTTTTTGAAAGTCAGGAGTGTACAAACGTGCTCGGCAAACATTCCCAGAGGACAGAGCAATGACCAAGACAGCTCTGGCTCTGTCCTCACAAGGCTCAGTCCAGCAGAGAATAACCTGTCTCCAGGCAGTGATGACCCATAACGGCAGGGCTGGGGTGAGAGCTCAGGGAGCTGGGGGTCCCAGATGAGGTGGTCAGGGAGGGCTTCCTGGAAGAAGAGACATTGGAACCACAATGTGGAGGACATATAGGATAAAGTAAAGTTATGTGCCCAAGGGTGTCCCAGGTAAGGGGAGAGCAGGGTCTAGAGCCAGAAGGTAAGCGATCACGTCAAGTTAAAACAAGGGAGATGCACTAGGCTGTAGGGGTTAGGCCCATCCCCTCAAGGTCTCGCTCATTAGTTAGGGGCCTGGCCTCTTCTCCCAAGGGTACTGGGAACCATGGTAGATTCTGGGCAGAGGCCCAGTAGGATCAGATTTGTGCTTTAGAAAACCCTCTGGCTGCTGAGCGAATCGGAGCGGCAGGACTAGGGACAGGAGAAGAGGGAACAGCCTGGACCAGGTGGTCTCAGGTGAAGAAGTGAGGCTCCTGAGGGATGAGGGTACGGGTTACAGCTGAGGAGCTTTGCCAAAGTCTTGGGCGTGTGCCTGGAGGGGGAGCCCAGTGAGTCCAGGGGGCCTGAGAGCCTCCCTGGTTCCTAGAGTCACAGGACAGAAGCCCAGCAGGGCACTGGCTGGCAATTGTGAAATGAGGCAGAGCAGGGGAGGGAGCAGAGTGGGTCCCTGGCTACCTGAGGCGAGGAGGAACCCGCTGTCCTGTGTGTGTACACGTGGGGCTCGGGGCTCTGTGTGTGCTAATGCCTCCCCAGAGCTCCCGGATTCCCTGCCGGGCTCTGCGGGGCGGGGTGGCAGCTGAGGCCTGGTGTGGTCCTCAGCCCCGGGGCCTCCTCTCCCAACAATGTTGATGAGGCCACCTCCCAGAACAGTAAATCTGGAAACGCGGGGTCCCAGCCCCTTGGAACACAGGGACACCCAGAGACCTATGTCCCGTCTATAAAGTGGGCAAACAGTCCCAGCACCCAGGTAGTTGGGAAGACACGTGTACCATGTACTAAGGTCTTGGCCAGATCCTCCGGGCAGGCAGCCCCGAGGATGCTCAGGTTGCCCCAACAGGTCGAGAGCTCTACAGCCAGGTACACCCCTCTGCCTAAGGATTTGCCCCGATACCCCTACTATACCCTGGCCAGAGCGCTCATAGGCCCAGAGAAGCAAGGTTTATGTGTCCAGTGTGTGGGGCCCGCTGAACAAGTCATTCTGAAGGGAAATGATCAGGACAGCGGGTGTCTACTCGTGAGGCCAGGAGACAATCAGTGGGCACAGGCAGGGCTCTGAGCCACAGCCGGCCAGACACAGCCTCGTTGTACAAGAAGGCCCCAGCGCACAGCTTCCCATATGCAAAATGGGGACAGTTACAGAAGCCCCTCAGAAGGCTGCAGGGAGGGGGAGAAGGGTAAGAAGGACCTGGACCCGAGGGTCCCTGTCTCCCACTTTACTGTGTCCTGCACCCTGCAGGTCTCCCTCGCAAACCCAATGAAATCCACCCCCAGCCCGGGTGAAGCTACCCCCGGGGGGTGGCAGAGGAAGGCAGGCACAAGGGGGGTTGCTGAGTTTAAGTTAAACACCCATATGAATTTATTAAATCCAGACTGTGTTAAAGGGCGGTGGTCTGGGAGGAGGGGCGTGGCCAGGGGACAAGGGACAAGATGACAAATGGCCGTGGGCGTCCCACTTAGGGGCCCCAGCCGCTCCCCCGCCGGGGCCCCCCCACCTGGGCAACGCCACGTCGCTTCACCATGATTCCCAATGGTGCTGGGCAGGCAGGGTGAGATG